GAGAGAGAGAGAGAGAGAGAGAGAGAGAGAGAGAGAGAGAGAGAGAGAGAGAGAGAAGAAAATTGGGTAGGGAGGTGAGGAGGTGAGAATATGGGAGTAGTTGGGATAGGGGAAACATGATCAAAAAATTTTTTTTCAATACAACAATGAAAAAGAAGCTTTCTCTAAGTAATTTTAGTATTAGTTTTCTCAAGAAGTCATGGAGTGACAAAATTTGTTTCTAATTAGCTATATGGGAGATATGCTTAACCTATATACAATTAGAGAATAAGGTCTTCTGGTACATTTTTCTTTGGTATATTTTTTAAAAGGCATCTTTTATATAGGCAGACTTACCACGTGTCTGGAATTAAGAGAGACTTCATAGCTAATAGCTTTAGCCAACTTGTTATCATATCCCTACCCACTTTTCCCTCTTTGGTCGGAGCGTTTTTACTCCTTGCTCTGGGAGGCAGGATCAGTATCTGGGGTGTAGAGGAGTACCTGAGTAAGAGGCCTTTATGATCTGTGCAGAGGGCCTCTAGTAAGTTCCCCAAAGCTTAACAGAGAGATGGTCCAGTTGTTGCAGAGAAGACAGCCTGGGAGCCAGGCTGTGTGTTTCCTCTAAGGTAGGGTGGAGCCTACTCGCAGGGAGGTGGCCAGTGGCGCCCGCTGGCTCAGGGCAGCATTTGGGCGGCTGCAGCTGGAGGCGAGCGTCAGGCTCCTCCGCGCCCCGCCTCACCCGGACATCCCCGCCCGCGGCAGGTGGCGGAACCGGCCGGACCTGCTCCACTGGCCGAGCCCGGGAGCTCGGAGCCCCGCGGTGGTCAGCGGCGCCATGGAGGCGGACGCGGACCCCGAGGAGCTGGCGCGGCTGCGCTCAGTCTTCGCCACCTATGACACGAACGGCTCGGGGCGCCTGGGGCGTGCGGAGTTCGGCGCTCTGTGCGCGGAGCTGCACGTGGCCGAGGCCGAGGCAGAGGCAGTGTTCCTGGGGCTCGACACCGACCGCGATGGCGCCATCACCTTCCCGGAGTTCGCTCGTGGCTTCCGCGGAGAGCTCGGTCCGGACAGTGCGGAGACCCAGGACGCCTGGGACGCGGCAGAGCAGGAGAGCCCCGGTCCCGCGTGGCGGGACTTCCACGGGCGCCTCGGGGACGAGGCCCAGCTCATTCCCAGGTGCGTGGTTGGGCGAGAGCGTGAGCTTCGCAACCGGGACACCCAATCTGTGAGTTGCTTTTTCTGTTCAACCACTGGCGGTGACTTCTCCGCAAAGGAAAAGGAAAGGAGATCTGGAGTTACTGGTAGGAAAGGGTTTCCTGCAAGTCTGTGGTGGACACCTGTAGCCCCTAGCGCCGGCGAAGCTAGCACACTCCTGGTGGCTCACAATGACCTCACCGGTTACCTTTTTCTACTGTTTCCTTGCCTCGCTAAGAAGTGAGCATAAGCAGTTTGCCAGCTTGGTGTTCTATGTACCAATAGTTGCGCATTTGTTGTTTGCTAAGTCCGAAAAGGGAGCTGCAGCATTGCTAGACTCACGAACTCATTGATGTGCACGCTGTTACTCGTTTTATTTTAAGGATACTTTGGAAAGTCCATTTGTCTGTTTATGACTGGGTGAGCAAGAATACTAGAAATTTAAACTCACAAGCCTCAAATGACTTGCTCAGTTAGTTAAACAAAACAAAACAAAACAAAACAAAACAAAACAAACAGAAATTTGATCCCAGGTCTTCTAAGCTGAAAAAGATGAAATGTCGTTTTCATTCAGTAGATGAAATGACACAATCACACTGTGACCTTACAGATAAGAGAAAAATAACTTATTACCAGGTTTCTAACTTTATTCTCAATGAGGGAAGGAGTACAAGGGCGATTTTATGGTGAGAACCACTCTCCTCTTCGCTGCATTTTTGCTGCCTTTCACTGGAAGGTTTTCTGCTTTGTGTTTGGAATTTGGCTGTGATTTTATGAACTCTGGCTGTTGTTATTAAGACCTGAAAGGCTTTGTTTTAAGTGGAGTTTGTGTATCTGAGACTTAGGTCTCAGAGGAAGGAAAGGGTCCTGGGAGGTGTCAGGTTCCTTTGGATTGCTTCACACCTCAAGCTTCATCATCCTAGTTTCTCCCTCAGGTAGGGGAATTTTGTGCAAGGAGCTTGAGTGACTCATTATGTTGAAAAACTGGGTGTGAGGACTAATCCCCTGCATACACGTGGGGAAAACAAACAAACCCCACAGTGTCTCAGCCAGGGAAGTAGACAACTTTAAACATTGTTGCTGTAGGCTATGCCTTTTCTTCAAGCCATCTTCCCAGCACATCTAGTTATTATTATTTTTAGTTAACGATTTCTAAAACGAAGTAGGGAGAGATACAGTGTATGAGTATGACCATTTCCCCGTTTTCCTTATTAGATTTCAGCAGCAGATGTTTGACACTCAACCTCTCAAGGGTATATTGACTTTTGTAGAATTGGTTGATAAAGCAGGACTTAACATACCTAGTGGATGATTATCTTTCCAAATGCTGTCAGAGGTTATTAAACTATCAGTGTCACCTGATAGACCTGTCCTAAGCCCTTCCGATGGGAGGTTAACAAGTACAGTGTTTGCCTTTCTGTGTTGGTCTAGTGAAAAAGAACCACATTGAGTTGAGCCACCTGATTGTTGCCATGGCAGCAATAAACTGTTTTGGTAAGTTGGGTTGCTGGCAGTCTACTTCCTCAAACAGTTGTTCATGTTTTCTTTCATCTAAACTTGGTTTAAAAAACACAACAAAATGGAAAGTCCACAACTTTTGTTATTGATCTTCTGCTGTGTTATTTCAGGCAAATTCATTCTGTGAAATTTTTTGAATGCCCTACAGATGCCAATTACTATCTTAAATGTTCTTTCAGACCTCTGGGGAAAAAGTCAAGGAAAGATGAAGTTCACATCTCTAATACACTTATAGTGTGCCTATAACTTTTCTCAGATATCTCTTTAAATAATATTTACAGATCAGTTGGTTATTTTTAGGAAACCATACATTGTGAATTGTAAATGAGAATTTTCTTTAGTGTTTTGAGGATTTTTTAAAAAGAGATTTATTTTATTTTAAGTTGTTTGTATCTGTCTTTGGGTATTCACATGTGAGTGCAGCTGCCTTCAGAGACTGGCGGTATTGGATCTGTCTAGAGATGGAGTTAAAAGTAGCTGTAAGCTGCCTGATGTGGGTGCTGGGAGCCAAACTCAGTTCTGCTTGAAGAGCAGCCAGTGCTCTTAACTGCTGAGCCATCACTCTAGCCCCACAGTCTTGAATTTTCATCTTCAAGAAAAATGATACTTGTTTATTTTACTGTGTGATATATATATATTTTATTTACTTGTGATATATTTTTGATTAAAAGAATTGTATTTTCTTGTGCAGGAATAATGAAACCTTCAGAAAGAAGGTTTCTAACTTGTTCCTAAGCTGGTATTCTATCTTATTTGGGGGTGTACCATGCCTGTCTTAGGATGTATACATATCCAGTTTAAAATAGAAATATACTAGATATAAGAATGTTTCCTTCCCATAGAGGTAAAGCAAGTTAGTGCTGACAGCTTCTGCATTTTAGATCACCCAAGCAAAATATGAAGTTGATTTTATGTTTAAAGTCCATGATCCACAATAACTTTGAGATTAGAGAAGAAACTAAATTGCTCTGTTGTTGCAGTAAATGTTAGTAGGAGTTTCTACCCCACCATAGTTCTCAAATAAAAGACACAGACCTTTATATGAATAATAAATCCTGAAAGCACTCTATGCTATTTTGACTGCTTCCCTGTCAATAGCCCTGATATCACTTGTCATGTTCTGCCTAGGCTGCTTTTACTCCAACAAGCCAGCTCTCATGACCATGTGCTCATGATACACGGCAACTTCTCTGTTCTCACTTCTTGTGGTCCTTGCCTTAGACGCCAAGCTGGGAACCAAAGCCCCACCTGTCTCTCTTCTGCCTAGCAACATACTGTAGGCGTCTTTATTAACCAATCATGGATAACTTGGTGGGGGGGGGGCAAAGTTTATAGAATAAAAGCTGGTTTACATGAGGATCTGTTTGAATTGGAGCAACCAGGTCTTGTGGGACTGAATTTAGCAATTGAATATAAGCAGCATCAGACCAACCCACACCACACTATAAAAGAATGTAAATCTTTGTGATGTATTTCAATGCATGCTTAAGTTTGTTTTCTCTTAGGAAATTGAGGGACTGATTCCCTTACTTTCTGGAAGTTTGTGACTTGTAACTTTGCATCTGGTAGATATAATGATAGAATGTAGTCTTATAACAGTGGAAATAGAATAGGAAGCAAGGTGAAGCAATAATGAAAGAGAATTTATCAAGGAACTTGGTCAAAGACCAGCTTCAACATCAGAGGTAGACTGAGGAAGGCAGCGAGGTGTGGTGGGCGCCTGGTGGGGGTGGCAAAAGCTGGTAGCTCCTGGAAATTTAGCTCTTTTGCTCTCCTGAGGCCAGAGCTGATGACTTCTGGCAATTAACTGTCTTTTACTCTCATGATACCAACGTGGAGTGGCCAGCGAGCAAGAGGCTCAGAGCTCATTAACTCCTCATGAGCCAGCGAGAAAGGAAAGGATAGAAAATTATGTAGACACACTCATACTGGAAGAGGAAAAGCACCCTCTGACAAGCAAGGTCTAACACACACACACGTTCCAACAATGTATACATACATTTGTAGGTACATACATACATACATAAATACATATATACACATATACATATTTACAGTTGACAGAACAAAGCAAGCTCTAACAATATTTAGTGTTGGTTTTAGATTTTTATAGATTTTAGACCAAAGTTCTCTATGTAAGAAAAGATTATCTCACAGATAAAATATTACATGAGAAGGTGTTACAGCAGGATGTTGAACATAAGTTCAAAGCAGTTGTTTTATCTGTGTGTCATTCTATAAGTCCATTATTAGTTCAAAGCAATAGTTTTATATATTTGTGGCCTTGTTCTATTATGGTACCCACCTGTGGCCACATCCTTGGACTTAACGTACAATGAATGCTTTTCCTTAATCATAAATCTGTCTCAAGCCTATTTTTCTTCCTAGTGCAGTCTACATGCTTGTAGTGTATGAAAGCTTATTGTCCTTTACATACAGCCTTTACTTACTATTCTATACCTTTACTCTTTCTGATAAAACAACTAAGATAATCTCCTTAGACTTTCTACCAATTAATCTAACTTCCTAAAATTATTTGAATGAAATCAGGAATTCTATAAAATCACTAATTCATCTAAGCAACATTGATTCATTAAAGTTCATCTTCATGTTGATCTATAGGACATCTCTCCAACAGAATGGGTAAATGCCCCAGGAAAGTATAGAGTTTTTCTACACCATGCCAGATAAGTGAGGAATGAAAAGGCATATCAGCAAGCAAGAAATAATCCTGGGACAAAGTCCCTGGAGTCCTTGCATCTTCAGAACATACCCATCATAGTCATGCAAAATGGTGGGTTACCTCCAGAAAGCTCACTTGCATGCTCAATCTTCCCTTCATGGTTCTCGCCAGAAAGTGGTGTTGGTCAAGGGGAGTCCTAGAGGTAGGGAGAGCAATGGCTGGAATGTGCTGTTCATATATAGAGCAGACGTACAGCCTACAAAACTTCTGGAGCCTGAGTTGTTATATTGGTTATAGGGAGTTTTGTTGGGTGAGTTTTTGTTTCTTGCATTTGCAAACTTCAGGCTGGTTTTCCCCATTCTTTGTGTAGATTCCAACACTGTTTTAAAAGTTCTTGATGATAATGGCCCATACTGAGTAAAGTAAATACTTCAGGAAGATTCTTGATTCCTGTCTCCTAGAAAAAGGAATTGACCAGAGATAGCTAGATAATAGCAGAAACAGAAACTTAGATATTCTGGGTTTGGGCAGTCTTAGTCTTTAGCATAGATCAAGCTTCCTTGTTCACGCTCCCTCACATGTCTTTTTCTTTTAGTTGATTGATTCCTTGGCAATTTCATACATGTGTATAATTCAGTCTAGTTGCATTACTCCTTCTAACAAACCTTATCCTTCCAATCCCATTAACTGTTCATCCTACCAAGTGTCTATCCCACTTGAAAGTCTTTTTTTTTTCTTTGTGATCTATTCAGTTTAATCAGGTCCACTCTTGTGAACACAG